CCTCCCCATTCCGGAGCCAGAACTGTTTTTGATGGTTTTTCTTCCCCCTGTAGCTCAGCTCAGGAGGCACCAGGGTGGCTGCCAAGGAACAATTGTGCCCACACAGCTTCAGCCTCTTTTCTTTTTGGGAGGATCCATGCGTGGTACGTTTGCCCAGATCTCCCCTGTGGCACCGTATGACGGCCCCTTAAATTGGAGAATCTGCTCTTCATTTACTTCCAAATGCTTGAGGTAACCTGAGGCGGTGCAGCAGCCCTTGTGAGGGACATTTGGACATCAATAAAACACGGGCACTGTGCAGTGTGCTCAGCAGTGTCAGTGGCACATGGGGAGCTGGCTCCGTGTCCCAGGACAGCCTGGCGAGGATGGGGCTTAGTCCGATCTTATTTTTAAGTGTCATGACTAATCAGCAGCCTCCAGAGCAGAACCCTGCCCTCACTTCTTCCTCCTGGGAAGCAGCAATTAACTCTGTAAACCCCTGATGTAAATCCTGTCTCTGTAAACCCCTGATGTAAATCCTGTCTCTGTGAACCCCTGATGTAAATCCTGTCTCTCTAAATCACTGATGTAAATCCTGTCTCTCTAACCCCTGATGTATATCCTGTCTCTGTAAACTACTGATGTACATTCTGTCTCTCTGAATCAGTGACGGATATCCTGATGTAAATCCTGTCTCTGTGAACCCCTGACGTATATCCTGTCTCTCTATACCACTGCTGTACATTCTGTCTCTCTAAACCACTGGTGTACATTCTGTCTCTGTAAACTCCTGCTGTACATTCTGTCTCTCTATACCCCTGATGTAAATCCTGTCTCTGTGAACCCCTGATGTATATCCTGATGTATATCCTGTCTCTCTAAACTACTGACATACATTCTGTCTCTCTAAATCAGTGACGTATATCCTGTCTCTCCAAACCCCTGATGTAAATCCTGTCTCTGTAAACCCCTGACGTATATCCTGCTCTCTAAATCACTGATGTATATCCTGTCTCTCCAAATCCCTGATGTAAATCCTGTCTCTCCAAACCCCTGACGTATATCCTGTCTCTCTATACCACTGCTGTACATTTTGTCTCTCTAAACCACTGGTGTACATTCTGTCTCTGTAAACTCCTGCTGTACATTCTGTCTCTCTATACCCCTGATGTAAATCCTGTCTCTCCAAACCTCTGATGTATATCCTGTCTCTCTAAATCACTGATGTAAATCCTGTCTCTGTGAACCCCTGATGTAAATCCTGTCTCTCCAAACCCCTGATGTAAATTCTGTCTCTGTGAACCCCTGACGTATATCCTGCTC